GATCACCAGAACTTATTCTTCCTGTGTAACTGAAACTTTGCTTTATTTGACCAATATTTTACCTTTTTCTGCTTACCATGACTGCTCCTTCTACCTCTGATAATCAACAAATTCCTCTCACATCCTGTAAGTTCAATTTTTTTTAAGGTTCCACACATATAAGTAAGAATGCGTGATATTTGTTTCTCAGTGCCTGCCTGATTTCTTTTAGCAAATGCAGACTTTGATTCTTTTTTAAGGGTGAATAGTATTCTATTATGTATATATTTACCACTTTTTAATGTATTCATCCATTGATGGGCATTTAGATTGTTTCCCTATCTTGGCTATTGTGAACAATGTTGCAGTGAACATGGGAGTGTGGAAATGTCCTCAACATACTGATTTCAAGTCCTTTGGATACATAACCAGTAGTAGGATTGCTGCATCATGTGGTAATTCCATATTTAGTTTTGTGAGAAATCTCCGTACTGTTTTCCAAAATGGCTGGCTAATTTACATTTCTACCAACTATGCACAAGGATTCCCTTTTCTTCATATCCTCATGACTAGCTTTTGATTATAATTTTTATTATCTTACTACTTCTACCATACAGTGCCATAAATAGCTTTTCCTGGGTGGGAGTAGCACATGTGCAAGCTTGTCTGCCTGTGTGTGTGTATAACAAAGAGACAGGATTGTTTTACCATAGCAAAGGAATATTACTTCCAAAATGCAATCATATGTAGATAAATAAGATGACCTGATTTTCCAACACTCTTTAGTTAATCATAGTACAGATGGACAGCTGTTACTATTCATACCAAAAGTAAAACTTACATTGACAGAGACTTCAACCATTGTTCCTGGTTTGCTTACTATATGTCTGTTTATTTTCCCATGCATGCCCACATGAGAATTATGTACATTTATGTGCAAATATGTATATATAAGAATATATGATTATAAATATATATACATTCTCATGTTCATTTGTACATGAGCACATATGCTGGCGCTTTCATAAAATATAATTTATTCCAAATTCAGTTCTGGATTCAATTTGTATTTTCAGTTTTATTCTCTTTTCCCCTGAGAAAATATATCTGGGGCAAAAATGTTGTGGTAGTTTTCGCTGTCCCTGCAACCTCTTTCGTTATTTGTACCATTATTACTGCTGCATAATCTGAACATAAAAAAAAAAAAAAACATGGTGCTATAGCAAATGACTTCCCAGTACTGACAGTTATAGCAGTAGCATTTCAGTACTGATGAAAAATTTCCCAATAAGCTCTCTGGCCAAGTTTACATAAACCAAACAGGAAATGACTGCCACTATTCATATTAAATCCAAACTATTTAGTGCAACTTTAGCTATGTTTTACATTGCTGTAAAATCTCTTTCATTCCCAACTGATGAAATTTTGTCTGTCTTGTAGTTGAAAAAAGATAATTTAAGGTTTCATGCATAGTAATCTTGTTGGTCCTTTGAATGGATCTTTTAAAGAATACTTTTGAAACATTATTTTAGTTTTTGATTGTTTAAATTTTATGAACTTTGTAAATTTTTATGATAGAGAAAGGTTTGTTATTACTTTTTCCCAATGGACTGCTAATAGAAGTTAGCTTATCTAGCCCATGTGCTAGATGCTGTTAGTATCAAACTGCCTTTGACTTTCACACCTCTCAGGGGACTAGTAATTGTTGTGTTCAAACAGCCTGTAATTGTGATCCCGCTGGCTTTCTCAGTACACTTCTGGCTATTAGAATCATTAAACAACTCAGCACCTGTTAACAGCATTGTAAATATTCAACCCTGCTTGTGTGCAGGTTGAGTCCAATATAGCGCAATCTTACCCAGCTCAGTCTTATAAATTAGAGCTTCTGACAAGTCAATTATTGTGAAACTGGGTTGCTCTGTGAAATAAATGAAATCGCATGCTGACAAAAGAGTAGGCTGTCTGTTTATGGCAAAGGGAAGATAATGACTTGATGATTCAATGCAGTGAGCATGAAACTACATTGCATCCTTTATCTGTAATTAAACATTGTGTAAAATTTCTGTTTAAATAACCAGTAAATTACAAATTTTGTACTGTGGAGAGTACAACATGAAAACAGACCTTTTTAGTTTGCTGTTGCTTGCTTTTTTCAAGTTAGGAAAATGATTATTGAAATTAGTGACATGTAATTTTTTAAACTAAATCCTTATACTTGTTAAGGCCAGAAACTGTGCAAGAAATGAAAAGTTCACTTAATACAGAATTACATTAAGTATTGTAGCATACTATGCTACTAATAAAGATCATGTCAATTTAAACTTATTCACACAAAAGTGTCAAAATATATTCAAAACTTTATCCTAAAAATTCCATTTATATTTAGTTTTATTATTTTACAATGTGTTGCAATTTAAACATCATCTAATTAAGATGTAAGGATACCATCTTTCTTTTGGTGGTTCTGAGATTTGAAATCAGTGTATTGTGCTTCCTAGGCAGGCTCTCTATCACTTGAGCCACACCCCAGCCCTTTTGGTGATTTCAGACAAGATCTTGGACATTTTTCCCACTTTAGACCCATTCCTCCCAATCTCTGCCTCCTGCATAACTGCAATTGCAGGTGTAAGATGCCACACCTGGCCAGATGTAACAAGATTTTTATAAGGCTTTGAAAATGACCTGAGCTTTCAGTCCAAATATTAAACAAAGAATATTATTTAGTAAAGATCAGTGAAATTCAGTTACTTGAATTGAATTTTATGTTTCTTCTGTTTTGCAAGTCAATAGGATTATTGGTAAGCACATTTCGAAAAAAGTAAGGAATGAACATCAATGACGGTTTTTTCATATTTTTGCTCAAAGAAATGTGTTTGTGTTTAGAAAGTTAAGTTGTGAGTAATATTTTAGCAAGGTCATCAGATAATTTGTTTTAGTCTCAGAGACATGATCTTATTTTTTTTCTTTTAACTATTTAAGAAATATTTGCACGGACTGTATTTTATCTGAGTGAAAGCCACAAAGAGTGCCAAGAGACTTAAATAAACAAATTTTCAAAGGACTATTAGTCCATTAAAATACATTACAGTGAGTAAAATAAAGCTGAATATAATGAATAAAATTCTATAAAGTAAATATTGAAAATCTGTAATTTTTGTAGAAGTATTTTATTATTAATGGCTTTAAATATTATTTGTAAGTATACCAAATTTTTTATTTCATGCTAATATTATTTTCCACAGTTTTAATTGTATGAAAAATAGTTTGATTCTTACTCTACAAATGGTACTACTTATACATTATCTTGGGTACTTTTTTACTGGTATTTTCAATTTAAGAATAACTTTATTGATTGTGTATTAGTCCAGCCTATTGGAAAATTTATACACTTGGCAAGCCAAAAGCTTAAGCACTTACATTGCAGAAAATTTTACTGATGAATTTCATTTCTTGGGAAAAAATGCTTTCAACAGTTTGGAATGGTTTCGGGGATCTGTATCTTTTTTCTGGTGCTTTGAATATTTATTTTTTTCTCTAAAGCAGAATGCATAATTTCAACTAAGTAATCCAGATTAGTCATTTTCTAGGACAAACATTTTCTAATGCTTGTTTTTCACTTCTATATATGCCTAGTTGAGCATGAATTTGAGCATTTTGTTTAGATTTATGACAGCACTGGGTTTAGTACTTACTTTCCTCTTCATTGATAAATATCTCTTTATCCCATACATGACAAGAATGTTTTGTTTTGTTTTGTTTTTAAGGAAGAACAATAATTTTTCGATAGACTAAAAGTGACTATTCCTTGTTTCATGAATGCCAAATAGAATCTAGTGTCCTATCAATCCTTACTCTTTGAAGACTCATCATTGGGTTACTTAGCCATTTGCACTGACTTGTCTTTCTAATGACAATAATCTTAACGTGATTTATGTCTTGCTTCATGCATTTTTAAATAATTATTTTTAACCCATACTGTCTCCAAGCTTTTCCCTTTGACTAAAGTGGGAATAATCCCCCAGTCATCCTGACAATATGTCTCCATCCCTCTCTGGTTTGAGATTAATACCCTTTCCCCAGCTGTGAATATCCCCTTGCTAGTCCTATTCAGATGGAAAACCACCATGGTGGGGTGTTAGTAATAAGAATTTGTTATAAGACCACTTTCCACTCCTGTTTCTTGATTTCGATAAGGGAAGAGGATGTAGAGCTCATAAATTCTCTGTGCTGACTGTGGTATGGGTTCACCCCATAGGAATTAGAAAGCTGCCATGATTGTGGGTATAGTGCCTTGCCCTGTGGATCTCCTCCCAGGCACAGACTCCTAGTGGTCATAGGAATTTGCCAAGGACATCAGAGCTGCTAGAAAAACATTTAGGTGAATTGTCTGTCCTTGGAAATTTTACTTGGAAAATGTACAGACCTGGACTTAGGTGTTTTCCTGTACGCTGAAACTTAGTTAGAATGCATTATTTTTAGCCTTTGAATTCCCTTCTAGATCTTAGTATGACATTTATTCCTTAAGCACTAAATTTCCTAAAAGAATTCATCTACCACCCAAACTAATAGTTCTGTGAGTTTTGTGAAGCTACTGAGGATAGGTTTTATAATAAAAAAGAATTATGTGTAAGTGTATATGTGTATATGTTCACACATACTTCATATTTCACTTGTGCATTTCACAATTTCAGTGCATAATTTTACTTTGGATAGATGGTCAAACTGAAGTAATACCAAGTTTAACACAGGAGACAGCTTTTAATGCAATTGGAAGCAGTTTTTAATGTGCTGTAGAATTTTACCTTCTTAGTTTACATATTTTTGATAAAGTGTCATTTTCATCAGTGTCAAACCTTAGTATGGGCCTTTTGATATGTGAAACAAGAATGGTAACTGCAGTTGCTTTATTTTTTTGATTTGCTGTAAATATGGTATGTTTGAAATTCTGTAAGACTATGAAACTGAGGTCATAGTTTTAGTAGAAAAAAATCTTGAAACAAATAACCTTGCTTGTTTTCTAGCTACTACAATTTGGGGGATGTGAGCCATGATTCTGTGAATAAGTTTCTGTCTCACCTTATTGAGAAGTCCCTGGTTGAATTGGAACTTTCCTACTGCATTGAAATTGGAGAGGTATGACTTCATCACATACATTCTAAATGCCCAGCTTTTTAACAATAGGGCCTTCCCATCTAGTGATATCAAAATTTGTAACAAAATTGTTACAGTAGCAACCAGAAGTGTGAATTACTGATTTTTGAGGAATATGTATTTCCATTGTACTTTTACTTTTTTCATTTTATCTTTCTTTTGAAACAGGATAATCGGAGCATTGAGCCTCTGACATTTGGCCGAATTGCCTCCTATTACTATTTGAAACACCAGACAGTTAAAATGTTCAAGGACCGTTTGAAACCTGAATGTAGTCCTGAAGAGTTGCTTTCAATTCTGAGTGTGAGTTTCATATTATTACAATATTTTAATACATATTTCATATCCTTTCTTGTTGTCATCCAATTCATGAAATGAACAGAAACTGTTCTGGAAGTTATTCCTTCTGTCAAGCAAGTTTATTACAAGGTTTCAAATCTAGACTAAGTTCCCTATAAAGGTGACCACATAATTTACCATCCAAATTTGGATCCTTCTGAGAGAAGAATGGAGCACTATTAATATTTAGGACAGGATGAAAGGATATAAGCTGGACAGTCCAAGCAAGCCAGGTGATTACCCTGTCCTTAGATACGATATCCTCTTTGAATTATGATTGAAAACTTTTATTATTGCTTCTTTAGATGGTTCCTATTAAACACTTAGCTACAATGTTGCCAAAGTTTCTTTACTTAAGGATCCACATGATTAAGTTATCTTAGAATTAATGACAAGAAAACACCCCACAATCCCCTTTCCAAAAAAAAAGTTGTATCATATGAGGGGGAAAAAAAACTATCATATGTTTATTTTTTCTCTTTTAAACTAAAAACCAAACTAAATTTAACATTGAACTTGAAATTATTGTCATGAATAACTTTTCTACTTACTGTACACTTCTGGCTTTATCCCATTCACGATTTTTAAATTTCTCAACTCTTTCCGTATGGATTTAGTGCCCAGCATGCAGTCAACAACATTGCAGTGAGTCAGAAAATATTTGTATCTGTTAATGAATTGATTGGTGAATATACAGATAGATATGTGGATCCTTTATTAGTTTTCTGTTGTTTGCTCTGTAGAAAATAATATACATTAAAGTTTATGTGGCTACTATCAAAAATATTTTTCTTTGAAAAATTAAAAATTCATTTATGAAGGGAGAATACAAAAAATGTGTTTTTAGATCCCTAAGGATGAGATTGTATCATCTCTTAGACAAAGATTCATAAAAAAATAGTATTTTTCTGAGAGAAAAACTATTAGCACAGGCAGTAAAGTAATCATTAATAAATTTGTGCATGTATCTTAAGTTAATCTCTGTTAGATTTAAAAATATAATTATTCTTTCATTTTTATCTTAATCATGGTATTCATAATGAAAATAAGGGTTTGGGGGTTAAGCAGTTCAAGCTCAGTCAGGAACATTCTGCCCAGGACCTGATGCTGCATCATAGCATGGCAGATAGCATCACACGGTGAAAACGTGCAGAAGCTTTGAGGGGCTGTGACATGCAAAAAAGACCAAACTTCGCTTTTATAACAGCTGGTACTTGCCATAACCGATCCAGTCCTGTGAGAACTAACTCGTTCCTATGGATCCAGCCATAAGTCCCTTGCAAGGGTTCCCGTGATCTCACTACCTCTCACTTTGCCCCACCGCATAAAGTCCCACCACATTTCAGTACTCTTACTTTTCAGACCAGGCTTCCAGTACTTCAACCTTTAGGAGCAAAGCATATCCAAACCATAGCACATTTTTTTACCTAACTTGATACATTTACCTAATTTGATATTTAAAAGTATTTTTATGCCTTGGGGAATACACATAGTAATAGCTAACACTTTTGAGCAGGCAATAGTGTAAGAACTTTCCATTGATAGATTCACTTAATCTTCACAGTGACCACTCATTTGATGTTAACATCACATTATTATTCCTGTTTTACAGATTAATCTATGTCTCCAAGGTTAGCACCTAGCTAACATATGTAACTACCAGAGAAATATGAAATGGGATGTAATGAGATTGTGTGTGAAATAATAATAGTACAATTTCTGTATTTCTGGAAATTATTCTTCTCATTGAGAACTGCTTTCCAAGATTTTTTGTGACAATACCCAAGAGTGCAAATGACTCACAGAACCTGGGTATCCTCCCTACTTTCACCTCCAGATATGCATGTTAATTTTGTCGTTGTTTTGAAATCAGTAGAAGCAGTGAGGTGGCAGCCACAGGGAGCATGGTGCTCATGTTAGAGAGGGTAAAGGAAAGCAGTAGGCATTACTTTAGTTCTTCACAGACTGTGTTCATTATGATACTTAACAATGACACACTGTATTTTTGAACCATTCAGTGTTATTACTTATTCACTCTCAGTTCCTCCTTCACAAAATAATTTCATGGGTGTTTCTTATTCTTTACATTTATTAATTTTACCAAGAATTTTTAGTGTTTCTGAAAGATTACAACTGAAAACCTTCTATTCTTTTGAGCATTACTTTGAACTTACTACAGTATTTTCCTTAATTTTGTCAGTGATGAGGTTTTTCATTTTTTAGGCAACATGTTACATTTGTCTTTTGAATTTTTTTCTTTGGTATTATTTATACTATAGAAATCATGTTTATTAAAAATTTTCAAAGATTCTGCAATATGATTGTACCTAGAAAGTAATTATAGAATACCTAGAAGGTAACCATAGGATGGAAAAAGAATATTAAAATATTGATTCATCAAAACATCTGAAAATATATAAACCCCTTATTTCCTGTCAGTTAATGTCAAGGCATAGCTTCAAGTGATGATTTCTTGGTTTTGTGTATTCCTAACTGATGATTGTTATCTTCTTTTAGACCTTTCCTTCCTTTACAGAAGATGTGTACTTAGAATCTGATACTTAGTACTCATATGGTTCTTTTTCCTTTATAAAAAATGGATTGGAGAGGGGTACTATGGGGTACATCTGTAATCCCAGCTATTTGGGAGGCAGAGACCAGGAGGATCATTGTTCAAGGCCAGCCCAAGCAAAAAGTTAACACGACCCCATCTTGCTCAATAAAGCTGGGTGTGAAAGTGCACACCTGTCATCTCAGCTATGATGGAGGCATAAATAGGAGGATCAGGCTCCAGGATAGGTAAAAATGCCAAAAAATAATGCAGAATAGTTTGGGGGCATGACTAAAATGGTACCGTACCTGAAGCATGAGGTCCTGAGTTCAAACCCCAGTGACACCTAAAAAAAAAAATGAATTGTAACTCTTACCCTTTATGTAATCATTTTGTATGTTACTGCCAACTCTTCTGAAATAAGAATCAGAATTTCATTTTAAGTAGGGATATGATTACCTTACTGCCATATAATATTTAGCAGAAGGAATCTTTTCTTTAATAAATAAAAAGAAAGCATTTAATCAGGTCATCCTATCATGTTTCTTTTAGTGTTTTGGCATGGCAAGCTTCCAGTTTTTGGTATTCCATAACAAACAGTTGTCAAATTTGGTAACAATTCCATCCATTAGGTCCTTTTCTACCTTATCTTCTGAATCCTATCCTCTGTGTTCATCTCCTCCATCAGTAGGGTGGTTGAGGTGGGCCTGATAGAATTCAAATAGTATTATATTAATATCACCCTTTTGACCAAAGCATGATGACAACAAGTAGTTCCTAAGTTTACAAGGTAAAGCTAAATTCTTCCAAACAATAAGGATTTAATAAGAAAGGAGATTAACAAAAGGATATTATATAAAGAAGTACCTTGCTATATCAAAGATGGTTTATCCTTTATATGTTATTCCCCATTTTTCCATATTAAATTCCTTGATAACCTTTCTACCACAGACTATATATTGGTCATCAAAAAAGTATTTTTTTGTGCATCTGAAATGTGTGACACTTTCTGAGGTAAAGATATAAAATAGTAAACAATACTGACAAACTTCCTGTGTTCTATATGTAGATAAGCTATGGGCCATGGTAATAAACCATGAAAATGTGGTATTACTGCTGACTAAAGCCATCAGCTCAATGTGATGCTCTAAGAATAGCATTAGAGTATTTACTCATTATCAAAAAACTTACCTAAAAGCAAAGCAAGATATGGTATTCTGCCCTTCACTTTATTCTTCCATACAGGAGAGATTTGCTATATATATTTCTGTTGGCCTTACATTAGAAGGACATTAGAAATTCTGAATGGCCCAAGTCAGCTTAGATGATAGAAGACATGTGATTAGTGCCCATTAATCTGAAAAGGCAAAGACTTTGAAGCAGTGTAACTGAAATTAAAATCATAAGCTTTATGAATAATAGCCCTCTTCAAATCTCTAACACAGTAGCCTTTTCACAATTATTAGACAGCTTCATTTGATCTTGCAGGTAATAATCTCAGAAAATTTATTACTTTGATTGATGGATATATTGTAAGTCAAAAATGCATTCAAAAAGGGGCCAAAATTTATTAAGTGTTGATAAAAAAATAAAAGAGAAGGTAGAATTTTGACTGTCCTATTTGGTGTGATGTAAGGGTTATCTCGGTACAGACCAGAAAAGGCAGGGTTCGTGAAGAACCTGCCTGGCATTTGCATGTATTTTTACTCTTGACCCTGTAAATACTTTAGGAATATTTTCATCCTTTGGGACATTGTGGGGTTTCTTTTTCTTTTCATTTTGGCAATTTGTTATACTTTTAGATACTAATTTCCATTAATTAGTACTCTTTTGTGTGAAAGTCTTTTTTTTTCTTTTGTAGTACTAAGGTTTGAACTCAAGGCCTTGCTCTTTTGAGGCAAGTGCCCTCAACCCTAAAAAATGAGCAAGAAAATACACTACCACTGATACTTTTTTTCTCTTGTAACACCTCTTTTGTGGCTTCTATTTTCACTTATTTTTCTTTCCCAGGAGTTAAACTACTTTTTGGACTTATATTTTTGATAACATTATCTTTAAATGGTAATAAAATCCTCAATTATAGATGTAAGTCCAAAGATTTTATTATTTTAATGATTTCATAAAGGTTTTTCTACAATAGTAACCCACTTAAATTTGTCTTTCCAATATATCATTTTAAAATAGTGCTTATTGTTCACCTACTCTGTGCCAGGCCCTTTATAGACAATATTTATAAGCATTAAACATTTCTAAAGTGTTAAAATATGAGTATATACTTTTAAAAATTAAATTAAGAAAATGCATTGCTATTAAAATTATGTGTGATATTGTAACTTTGAAATATGTTAGTATATTCAGATATTAATTACTGGCTAATTGTTATTTCAACATTCCTTACTGAAGGCATATATTT